CTCAATAAATAATAAATAACAATATTTGAAATATAATTGAAAAAAAAAAAAAAAACTTAACCCCCCTTTTGCCTTTTTAATATTAATTAAAAAAAAAAAAGAACAAAATTAATAAAAAAATTAACAGGATCTTAAAAAAACTAAAACAAAGATGACAAAAAGAAAATTAAGGTGATAGAATTTGCATTTTAAATTAAAAAAAAAAAATATATGCCAATTCAATTTAAAAAGAATAAAAAAAAAGAAAATTTATAAAAAAAAAAAACAATTCAAATTAAAAAATTATAAATTTTAAAAATAAGAAAATTAAAAAATAACAAAAAGTACGAAATTAAAAAATACAAATTTCAAAAAGAAAAAAAAATTTTATTTATAAACAAAAAATATTTATCATAAAAATTTATTAAAAAAATTTTTAATTTTTTAATTATAATTTTTGTTAAAATTGTTTTTTTTTTCTTTCTATTTGTTATTCCAATTGTATATTTATAAATTTTTTAATATTTAAATAATAAAGTAGAAATTTTAATGAAAATTACTTACTTACTATATTTACTTATATATTTAAATGTTGTGAATTTTTCATTTTAATTTTTTTCTTTCATCATAAACTTTTATCATAATTCCTTAATAAATAAAAAAAATTATTTACTCATTTTCTATTAAAAACAAAAAAACAAATAAAGAAATTTTAATATCAAAATATTGTATTTTATATAAAAAAAAAATATTGCATAAAAAATTAAAAAAAAAAAATTAGTACTAAATTTACAAAATTATTTACACCTTATATAATTAAAGTTACACATTAGCAATTTTATATTTTATGTATAATTAATTTTTTAGAATAAAATGTATATTTCTTTGTATTTTATAATCATAATTATATTATATTTATAATCATATTTATATTTAATTATCTTAATTATTTTACTACTTAAATCGATTTTTGTGAAACGATTTTCATATTCGGAAAAATCGGTAACTAATCAATTTGTATGATTATCGATTTTTTACATTTGTGCAAATACGAAAATCGAATTATATATAGTAAGGAATTTCCGTTCGGAAATTTTTAAACGAAAAAATAATGCAAAAGTATTCGCACCAATATCTTGTATTTTCATTTATTACAGAAGATTTTAATTATGAATTCGAGAATTTTTGATAATTCAGGACATGCACTTAAACTAGTAACTTATACCTTAAAAAAATTTTTTTTCTTTTTTTTTGCAGGAACTAAATAACTAGTTTAATTTTTCAGATTTTTAATATCTAGATTTTTACTAAAATTTAATTATTATTTTTGCAGCATTTTAATAAATATCTTTAAAAAAAAAAACGCTGAAGAAATTTAAATATAATATGATTTTCGAACGTGTGCTTCTTTTATATCAAAAATTTATTGATTATGTTATCTTTGATACGGTAGCCTCATCACATATCTAGTAAACTCAATGACATAAGAAACTGGTTAATGGTTATCATTGTTATCTAGAATATCATGTACAAGCCTTATGCTCTTCCCAGGAGCGAAGTCGGATATACTTTATAATTTTGATTTATTGAACAAGATTTATATTTAAATATATATTGGAAATAAATTTTCAAAAATCCACCTTGGTTAATCCGAACGTTTTCCAGCATACAACAAAATTTTACAAACTCGTTCGTATTCTATTAACAAAATTATTTCATATTCCGTATGAGTATAAGAATGTGGAAAAATTGAATTTTTCATTTATTTTTTAAATTATTTTTTTTTTTTTTGAAAATTTCATTTTATTTAATAATTTTGTTAATCTTAAAAACAAAGTACAAAAGAAAAAAAAAAAAATATAATAAAAATCAATATGAAAATGAACACAAAGAAATATCATTTATTCTAAATAATTAATTATAAACCCAATTACAAAAAATTTTCAATCTTATAATTAAAAAATAATTCAAAAAAAAAACATTATTATTTCATATTTATAACACGAACTAACTACTATTACAAAAAAAAAAAAAAAATACCCCCCTCCCTCCCCCCATCTTATTTTTAATTATAAATTTATATAAATTGTGTTAGATTAGTAAAAAAAAAAAATTTTTGTATTGAAAAAATTAAAAAAATTGAAAAAGAAAACCTAAAAAATAAAAAAAAAACACTTTAATAAAAAAGAAAAAGTCATTAATTAAAAAAAAAAAATAAATTTATTATTATAAAATATTTGAATTAAATTTTTTAATTTATTTTCATAATTAGTTGTAATTTCATTATTATTAATTAATTACCATTATTATTACATATATAAAATTGTTAATTTTAATAAAATCCTATACATGTAAATTAATTTGAAATAATTTAATTGAAAAACAACACAAAATTTATAAATAATTAAAAATTCAAAAAAAAAAAAAATTATAATACACAACAAATAAGAAAAATTACTTTTCATAATTATTTTCATAATTTCCAATAGAACAAAAATAAAATTAAATAAATTGAATAAAAATTACAATATAAAATTATTAATAAATAATTTTAGTACGAGAACAAAGAAAAATAATAATGAACAAAACTCTATAGATTAAATAATTAAAAATCAAATTCAATAAATACAAAAAAGAATATCTAAATCTTAAGTAAAATCAAATTAAAAATAAAATAATTAGTATGAGAAAGAAATCACAAATTGCAAGCAAAATAATAAAACAAAGACAAAAAGAGAAAATAGAATAAACATAAACTATAAAAAAATCAACTTTAATTAATTAAAATATAAAATATAATTGATTTATAATGGAAAAAAAAAAAAACAAAAAATTCATTAAATATATTTATTATTAATAAATAAATTTATTATTATAATAAATTGAACCATAACACTTGGACAAAAAAGGAAAAGAAATGAAAATTAAAACAAAGAAAAAACAAATTATTTAACCTAAAAATTTCATAGATTAAATCGAGAATATATTAAAAAATTAAAAAATAAAAAAAAAAAAAAAACGAGGAACCTATAAAACAAAAACCTACAAAAAAAAAAATTATAAAAAAAAATTTAAAAAATTAAAAAAAAAATCTTAAAAACTAAACCCCAATACGTTGTTCACAAAAAATATTCAAGAATATTTAAAAAATAAAAAAAAAATGAAAAAAAAAAGAGAAATAATAAATTAATAATAATAAAATTATATAGGAAAAGAAAAACAAAGTGTTTTTCATTCTTTTAAAATATTTTCTGACTCCCATTCTTACATAATATGTAAGAATGGAAGTAAAGCGTTACTGTGCCAAACGCGTCACATTTGTGACAGTCACATGGCATTTTTTTTTTTTGGGGGATTCTACTAGACGAGAAATGTGTTGTGACAGAAGCAGCTCGTCTCGAAATTTTTTGATGTTAAATGATCTTGAACTTTCACAAGTATATCTTTGTGGGTAAAAAAATATACGCGATTAAATATGATAATATTTTCAAAAATGCGTCTAACAGAATAACATGGACACTTTTTGTGATAAATAGTGAAACGCGCATCTAGTAGAATACCAAATCTGTCACCCTACACTTTTTTATGCGTCGCGTCTAATAGGATAAGGCTGAATATAGCTGCATATGCCGAAACAAAACTTTGAAAGCAAAATTCTTCAAATAGAAAAGACTGATAAATTTTATATGTCAAATATTCCCAATTATGAGCTATAAAACGAAGAATACATACAAAGGCATCTGAAATTGAACTATGCATGTACGATATACCGCAAAGACGTATAGATGAAATAAATCTTAAATCCCAAATATGCTGTCATGGAAATAGCCCATGTCGTAAAGTATTAAAAATAAAAAATATCTATAATCTTACATCATATCGAATATGTACCTTTAATCAAGCAATATATAATATAATAGATTAAACTCGCCTATTGCAGTTTTAACGAAGATCTGCAAAAGCAGGGCGTTTCTGTAGTTTGCTGCAAATCATTCCGTTTTTGTTAGTAGATATTCAAAAAATCTTCTATCAAATCGACCAAATAAAATTTTTTTTTACTTGTAATATTCACAACCTCAATTAATAAAGAACTCATTATTGAGAGCGTAGAGATTCATTATTGAGACATTATTAATACTGCACTAGCGTTTTGCTAGCAATACAGCTTTTGTAGTTCTATTGGGGTGGAATTTTTACTAATATGAAATACCACTGTCAAAACTGTAAATGCGAATTCAACCGGTTAGTGTGCTTGCTTTTTGTGAAAAGTTTTAAAAGTGTCTTTATCGTAATGTCAATGAAGAATAATTAAGGAAACGCGTTATGCAAGTGCTGCCAACATTCAGATTTAAAAATATGGAAACAAAAAATTTACCTCATTATTATCTTTAGTATTACACTCACACTCTATTAAACTTCAAATGCTCCAAGTAGCTACGATACCTTGAAATCAAACTAATGTTTTTTTTTAGCATTTCAACGATTTGTCGCTTTTAAAGTGAGCGATTTTTTTTTTTTATAGTATATTTGACATTTTTTTGATAACCACTGTTTTGTAGTACTGTAACGTGCAACCTACATAATAATAAAATTGATGTTTCAAAAAATCCTGAAACTGAATTTTATTCAAACTTTTTAGAGAAAGTAAAAAAAAGCTGCTCTAAACATAAAGAAAATATGTCAATTTTATGCAAAATAGAACAGTTTGTCGCGAAACCAGTTGTGGTAATGAATCTTACCACAAACAATATTGTGAATAAAAAAGTTTTTATACCGCTATGCCCTCAAGTTTAATGTGCAACTTTGAGCAATGAAAATTTCAATGATGCAAAAATGTGAGCGATGAATCCAAAAAGTTTTTAATGTCATTTTTAGCTTTATTATTTTCGATCATTTTAGTTTGTTTCTGCTTTATTGAATAAAGCATTAAATTGCATTACTTACTAGCAGCTGACAATATCTGACACATTATATTCTGAAAGCTGTCATATCATATGTTATTTGTTTGGAAAACAATTTTTTATTTAAATATTTTAAAATAAATACGAGAATCTAAATTAAATTTTAAAAAATGACTGAATTTGTATTCAATTATTGTTTAAATCAAGTAATGGAAGGATGTGCAGAAACTTGTACTCAAAGAATAAAAAAAAGAAGAAAGCGTATTTATAGAAATCTAGCTCTTTTAAAATTGCACAACTTTAGAAGTTTAAATGAAAATCCAAATTTCGAACATTTAAAGACAATAAAAACTTACCCAAATGATGTTTTTTATTCAAACATACAAATGCAAAAAAATACTTTTGCGGTAAGAAATAAATTTTTTTTTACAATATAGTTTTCATATAAATTATGAATTGATATCTCTAAATTCTATTTTTTGTCTGTATTTAGAAGCTGCTATCATACGTAGATTCCTTATGGCGAAATTCATTTTATGGTAGACCACCTATAAATGCTGAACTTTCATTATATATAACTATTTATAGGCTTGTAAATAGAGCCACAATGGCAGAAATATCAGAAAAATTTTCAATAGGAAAAGGATCCGTTCATAGAATGGTAACAAGAATGACAAGAATATTAACGAATTTAAAGGAAAAATTTATAATATGGCCACAATCGAATGAAGAATATAAAAAATTAATGAAAGGTTTTCAAAACATTAAATCCAATAATCCATTTCCAAATGTAGTAGGTTGTTTGGGATGTACACACTTAAGAATATATCAACCAAAAATAGGTGCATCTAGTTATTGCAACTCAAATAAAACATTTTCTATGATTTTACAGGTAATTTTCATTTTTGTAAATTTATTTAAAATTGTGATAACGGACTTATTATAGGCTATTTGTGATAGCAATTTTCGATTTATTAATGTTTACTTTGGTTGGCCCGGTGGAAGTCATGACGCTGATGTGTGGAAAAAGAATCCATTATATGAAAAACTTCAAAATCAAAGTATAATTATACCACAAGATGGTTATATATTGGGTGATACGAATTTTCCGCTTGAAACATTTTTAATGGTTCCTTTTAGAGACGATGAGAATCTATCATCCGAAAAAATACAATTTAATGAAACATTAAATTATATAAGGATTACAATCGAAAAATCTTTTGGAGTTTTAAAGAAAAAATTTTCGATTTTAAAGCATTTACCTGTAAACAAGTTATCAGAGGCAAAGTACATAGTTTCTTCATGTATTATGCTTTATAATTTTATTATCGAAATGGAGGGAATATCAGCATCTGATCTAAATAATCTTGATAATGATGAAATTATTAGTCCGCCACTTGAACAATATAGTTTCAATGAGGCAGCTATTAAAAAAAGGAATCTGTTAGCTAATTCGTTTAGAACTTAACAAAAAAAAATTTCGAATCGGTTATAATAAACTTTTCTAGAGCACCAACGTAAATATAAAAACGCATAATGCAAATTTAGAAAAATAAAACATTTGTTTTTTTCTTTTTTGTACTAATTTCCAAATTTTTTTAATAATTAATCTTGTTTCCTATCTAATATTTATTAATCAAAATAAATCAAGTTTTCTACTTAATGTAAAAATTTTTCCATTAAATCTTTGATTCCACGCAATATTTTAATTTTTTCTTTTTCTATAATTAATAAATCTTTATGATGCCTATCAGCTTGTATAACTTCATCTTTTAAAGCATCTATTATATCTTTAAATTTTCTTTTCCTTGGACGGCTTTCTCTCTTGATAGGTGAAGGAGTTTCAGTATCGCCATAATCATTTTCATAAATATTATAATTTTCGGTTTTCACAGTAGAAACAATATTCAAATTTGATTCGTTATCATTACTGATTTCATCCATACTTAAAAATAAATTTTCTGAAAACGGATCTGCAGAAACAGTTCGTCCAAATACTTCATCAAATTCATCAAAGAATTCCCAAGTTGTGGAACCTTTTCCAGTTTCCCGGTATCTTTTCTTTATTCTTTTGTATGTTGTATAACAATTTGTATATTTTACAATCATATCATTTTTTGAAAATGAAAAACTAGGATCCTTTTCTAAAATCTTTTCCAGTACTTGATTCCACAGTAATGTTTTTTTTGTTTTACCTGATTGAAATTCATTTTCAAATGCTAGTCTTTCTGTAACTAGCAATTGCGTTTGTTTTCTTGTCATAATTTTTTCTCTAATACAAAAAAAAAAATAATAAATATTTTGTACAGTTTAGTATTAATAATTTGCTGATAAATCCTTACTCTGAATTTTCCATTTTCTGCTTTTCCTTGCTGTTTTTCTTAGTTCGATATTGTGGCAAATAGTTTATTAAAACAATGTAAATGAAGGGAATGCAAGCAATATGAAATGTTGCAAATTTGCAATGCCTGCTGTCAAAATCTATTGCGTCAAAACTTCATAAATATCAAGACATGCATTATTGCCAATTTTGGTAAGTTTTGCAAAGATTTCCGTCAAAAACGTTAAGAATATCAATTGACAAAGTTTTACAAGAATGCTGTATTGTTCACATTGCAAAAATTTTCAAGCGTCTTTTGGAAAATCTAGATTAAAATTAATTTTATTATAAACACCTTGAATAGTCTCATAAAATATGGCATTATGTGTAAGGACTTCATATCAGTAGGTATTGAACTTATATTTTACTTGCTTACTTAAATACATGTGTACACAAATTTGGACTCCGAATGGACTATGAACAAAATGACTTTTGAATGAGTTGAAAGCATTTAACAATGTTCCATAACGGCTATTAAGCAATACATAGCAACATTAAATAGTGCACCGTGTATACGCCATGCGACACTGCTTTTTTACAAGTTCTTTTTTGTAGAAACAAAACTTGGCAATGTTGGCAGTATTGCTTTTTATTGTATTAAAATCATGAAAGAACATATTTTTTGACAGCATGCATTGCAAATTTGCAGTACGTAAGTACTTTACATATTTTATTTTGTAATAAATTCTCGTTTAGTCGTGTAAAAAAAAGGAGAAAAATGGAACTCGTGGATGAAGAAAATGCAGAGTAAGTGCATTTCTATAATTTTCTTGCAATAATAATAAGTTTTTATAATTTAGAGAAAAAATTATGACAAGAAATCAATTAAAATTATTGGTTAATGAAAGATTAAACTATGAACAAGAATTTCAAATGGGTACAATAAAAAAAGCAGCATTATGGAGTACAATATTAATAAAAGTTAAAGAAAAAGATCCAACATTTTCATTTTCAAAAAATGAAAGTATTGTAAAATTTTCGAATTGTTTTACAACTTATAAAAGAATAAAAAAAAGATTTGGAGAAACAGGAAAAAGTTCCACGAGTTGGGAATTTTTTGATCAATTTGATGAAGTGTATGGAGATTCATTTTCTATAAATCCAAATGAAAATTTATTTTTGAGTTCGAATGAAGGTGAAGGGTTCGACAATAAATCAAATACGAATACTATATCATTTGTGGGAATTGATTCAAATAATGATAATGATAATGAAATTTATAATGATGATAATTATAATAATAATGATAATTATATTAATAATGATAATAACGATGAACATGCGGATGACGATAATACAGATAGTGAAAGAAACTATGAAAATCAACCTAATCCAAAGAAAAGAAAATTTAGTAATATAGCAGAAGTTATCAGGTATGAAACTGAACAAACTGAAAGACATCATAGAGAACTATTAGCTGTTGAAAGGGAAAAAATAATAATTTTAAGACAAGTAAAAGATTTAATGGAAGCATTTTTAAATTAGATGGTAACTAGATAATGTATATGAGCCCTATTATTATATATATTGCCTGGATAAGTTTCAATATATGAATGCAAATAGGTAGATAAGTAATAGAAGCAAATTAATAGAGGAAAACTGAATTGATAAAGTTGACTATTCTTCGTATACATACATATACTTGTGTAATATGTAATTTAATAAAACTGCGTGTGGATCTGTGGATACTCGCTTTTGTTCTTGTTTTCACTATTCTGAATAAAACAGGAATATCAAAACTAAATTTACTTATTTACAAACAATAAACAAAAAAAATATTTAAAAGATAAAATTCAACCATTATTTAAGTTATAACTTAATCCTTTTCTGACAAATTTTCTGTATCAATTAAAGGTACATATTTATTTATGTCACATACTTTATGCTACTTTATGTAAATGTTCAATCAAAAACTCTGCAAAATTATGTAAATAGTTTTGGGGACTAGAAAACCAAAAGATTTATTTACATTCTAAACATATTTGCTTAAATAAGCTTAATTAAAGTAGGTCATATCAAAATCAATAATTCATAAGAGCAAAAAATGAAGCAAGATTTCAAAAAAAGGAATAATAAATATAAAAACAATTGTGAATCCTTGACCTTTTAGTTAACATAAATTAAATTTGCATACGAAATTTAAATTTGCAATTTTTTTTTTGTATTTCCTTTTAAATTCGTCCTTTGTTCTTTGTATTTAAGATTATTTGGGATTGTTTTCGATGATAAATCAAGTAATTCGTTATCGAATAGACGTAAAGAGGGATATTAGAAAATTCTAACATAGATCTTAATAAGGTCATTAATTTCTGAACGATCTATATTTTTAATGTATATGTAGCGTGAATTTTCGGATGTAATACAAGCTAGAATTATTCTAGAACTGAATAAACTCTTATCTTAATATAAAGCATTCTTAAAGATTTTGTTTTTTTTTTTTTTTTTGTAAATGCTGCAAAATTAAAAATCTGACAAAGTTAGAGTTCGTATAAATCTGTAATGAACCAGAAAGAGATTATTAAAATTTAAGCTAGAATTCAAATTCTAACACCAATGCACTTTCGATAATCTGAATTCTAAACGAAATAGTGATATTCTAAACGAAATAGTGTAATTAACTCCATCACTTTCACAAAACAATCACTTTTACATAAAATCAAAATCCAATTTCAATTGGGCCACAATTAAATCTTTAAAGAAGAAGTAAAAATTAAAGTTTTCAAAACTACCAAAATAATTATAAATTCAAAATTACATTTTTATTTTATCCTTTTTTTTTTTTTTAAGTTAATATTTTCTTAATTGTTTTTGTTATTTTACTTTTTAAATTTTTTGTTTTTTTTTTTCATTTATTTAATTTATTAATTAATAAGTTTTTTTTTTTTAAATATTCAAATTTATTTCTTAAAAATTAATTACTGTAACCAATTTCTTAACATAAATATCTCTTATAATTTTAAAAAATCCAAAATATATATTAATAATAATTAATTAATTTATTAATTTTTTACTTAAGAATAAAAAATAATTTCAATAATACATTAAAGAAAATAATATTAAAATAAATTGTATATATTGTAAAAGCAAAAACAGAAAAAAAAATATAGAAACCAATTGTTTCAAAATTAATAATTATTATATAAAAAAAAAAAAAACTAATTAATAATTAGATTTTTATTTATAAAAGATTAATTCTTTTAAATTTTTGTGTTTATTTATATAAGATTACTAATTCAAATTAAACAGGATTTTATTTGATTTATTAAAATGATAATTATAATAATAATATTTTATTAAATTAAATTATAAATAAATTATTGAACGAAATTTTGTCTTTCAGCTGTTTCTAGTTTTTTTTTTCATTTTTTTTTATTTTTTACATTTCATCCCTTCATTTTTACATTTTTTGTTTTATTTTTTATAAAATATTTTTTTTTTTTTGTTTTGTGTATAAACCTACTTTCTTTCTTTAATTCAATCATTTTTAAAATATTTCTTTTTTATTTTTATTTTTTTGTATTTTTATTTTTTTTTAAATTTTCACAAATAAATATGAAATCAACAGTAACAATAATTAGTAACTAATATCAAGTTATTTAATATTATTTTTTTTTTATTTTGTTTTAAATAATTATTTAAATTTTCAATTTAAAGAAATTTTTTTATTTTTTAAAAATTTTCTATACTTTTTTTTTCTTCTTCTTTATAATATTAATATTTTATATATTTATACATTCTTACATATATATGTATATATTTTGTTTTTATAGATTTTATTTTTATAGTTTACAATTAAACTTTTAAAGAATTATTTTTGTTTTGATTTTATTTTAAATATAAGTATTTTTCTTTTTTTTTTTTGTTTTTATATAAGGCATGAGAAACCGTCTTTTCATTTATTTCAATAATTTGATATTTTTCAGTGACTACAAAAAAAAAAATAATTTTATAAATTTTAATAAAATTTTTAGATCAATTTAAAATAATAATGAAATTTGAGAAAACTTGTAATTACAAAATATTTATTGAAATCACACGAAAAAAAAAATATGAATTGTTTTATTTTAAAATGTTAATTGAATTAATAATGTAAACTTGTCTATTTTAAGAAATAAATATTTTATTTTTTTTTTTATTTGGTTATTGTGTTTAGAAAATTTAAAATATAATATATTTTAGATAACCAATACACACAAATAAAATATTTAATATTAAATTATATATTAATTATTATTTTAATATTAAAAAAACAACAATAAATATTTCAAAAATATTATTCTTTTTATAGCTCTATCAAATCGATATTAAAATGTCATTTTAATATAATCGATATTATGTATACCATTTGTATATCGAAACATAGAAATCGATTTCTGTCTTTTTAAAAGTATTTTATTAAAAATGAAATCAGTAGTGTGTATGCTTTATGTACACCATATTTTACAATGGCAGCACTTGACATTCAATACGACTATTTTTTTTTTTTTTTAAATACGTAATGCAAATTGTTCAAAAATAATTTTTAAAATCAAAGCAAATACTAATTGGAAAAGAATAAATATTTTAATTGGCCCATTTTAATATTTATCAGAGAGATGATACTTTCATTAACAAATCATAATGATTTTAATGCAATATTCATGATAAATACGAAAATATTGAATTGTATAAACAATTAATTAATATTTTTGTTAATATTTTAATTAATCTTTTTACAAAAAAAAAAAAAAATTAAATACAATATCCTCATGCATTATTTTTTTAATTTTTTTAATTTGATCTTGATTTAATTTGTAAGTCTTTTATTTTTTTTTTAAATCAATGTTTGTTTTTTGTTTTTTGTTTTTGTATATGCAATGATTACATGATAATTTTGTAATTGAGCTTAAATAAAATGAATTTAATTTTAAAATTTTATTGCAATAATTCTTTATGATAATTATTTCGAATTTAAATTGTAATTATCGATAACAAATACCCAAAATATGTAAAATTTAAAAAAAAAATGGAAAATCATAAAAATTTTTAAATATTTAAAATAATGCTCTTTTTTTTATGTAGAAAAAACTTTGATCCCGATATATTAATAATATTTTAATTTATTCGCATTTAATTATTATTAAAAAATTTTTATTTTAAAATTAATAAACCAAATTGTTGAAAATATACTTCTTTTTTAAAAATAAATTTTGTAAATATTTTCAATTTTAAATATGAAATAATTTAAATAAATTAAAAATTTTAGTAAATTGTTAGAAAAATTAAAAAAAGTATATATATTTTATTAGTAAATAATAAAAAGTGTAATTATTAATTATACATTTATATCTATATTGTTTGCAACAAACGTTACAAAAGAAGATAAGGCCTCTAATAGTTTATGTCCAATTTAATTCATATATATTTTTTTTAATTTGAAAAAAATTTTAATAAATTCAAAAATTTTATAATAGCAAAATTTAGGAAAACAAAAAATTTATTTTTTATTTAATTTTTAAAATTTATTTTGTTAATTTCAAATTGAAATTCAAAATCGAAAATTTAAAAGAAAAATTAATTAAAATAAATATATTTGGAAAATTGAAAAAATTAATTTAATAATTATTAAATAATTTCAAATCAATATTAGTACATCAACGTAATAAGAAAAAATGAAAAATAATTTTAATATTATAAATTTAAGGACACTATTATTAAAAGTAAATTATTTAAAATTGAAAAATATTAACAAAATTAATTTTTTAAGTATAATTTGAATACAGTTTCATTGCGGTTGTTTTTTTTGTTTTTTTTTTTTAATATATTTTATTTATAGATATAATATTGTATAATATATAATATAATATATTTACATAATTATTGTTTATACACTATTAATGTCTTACTAAATGACTATAAAAATATTTTTGGTTTTTCTATATTTTAAAACAAAAAAAAAAAAAAAGAGGAAAACAATAAAAAAAATTTCGTTCTTCTTATTTACAATATTATATATATATATATATGTACGTACATATGTATGTAAATTACATGTATCATATATATTTTAACATTTGCTTTTTTTGTTTTTAATTAAAATTTTAATTAATTTTTTATTTTGTAATTTTATCATTTACATATTTTTTTTACATTTATACATATTTATATATTTATAATAAGTTTATTATATAATTGGTTGGTATACAGAGTGTGATAAAATTTTTGAATTAATGATATTATTTACTAAGTAAATTTTTTTTTTTTTGTTTTCTTTTAAATTAAATTCTAATAAGTTATTGATTTACAATATTCTTTTCTTATGTTTTTTTTTATATTAAATTTGGGAACATTATATATTGAAGATGATGTAAAAGTTGTTTGTTTTTTATTGAAAACTTTAAAAATAAATTACATTTATTTCTGACCAAAATAAATTCTATTGGAAGAAATTTTATGGTTGTAAAATTTTCTTAATAAAAAATTGGAATTTTCATAAATAATTTGATCAATCATTTTTGAAAAATTGTTTAAAATAATAAGATTTTAAAATGTTTTTAAAACAGCATTAAAAATATATTCATTAATATAATAATTTTAAAAAATATTTTTCATGTTTAATTAAGAAATTTAATAATTTTTGTTTTATGGAAGCATTTTAAATTGGAAAAATTTTGAATCATTAATTTAATTATACAAATAAAATACAGAAAATTTAAAAAAATCTTAACAAATTTTTTGAAATTAAAAAGGGCCATCATCAAAGATGTATGGCCCTATAATTGTATGGTTATGGAGTATTATTCAAAAAGTATTCAATTTTTTATTAAAGAATTTTATATCACATCAGATTTTTTCAATAAATTATATAATCAAATATTATAATACAGGCTTGAGAATAAAATTAAAAAAAAAAATTTAAATTTAAATAAAGATATTGAAAACTTTTGCATCATCTATAATAAATAACCATAAAAAAAATATTATTTTGAATGCAACTCTTTTCATAATTTGTTCTTTATCTTCTCTTAAATAAAAAAAAAAAAAAACAAAATTGATTTAAATGAAAAATAAAATAATATTTATCTTAATTAATTTTCTAACAATTATTTTTTTTTTTGCAAAATGATTTTTCATGTTGAAAAACAAAAAATTAATTTTATATAAATATAGTCTACAAAATTTATTATACTAATCGTATATTTTAATGTGTTTTTAATTATTAAATGTTAATATACTTAAATCTAATTTACAAAAAAAAAAAAATAATAAAAATTAAAAATAGGGCAAAACAAAATTAAAATTTTATTAAATTTTCTACATTTTAAGAATATTATTTTTTTTTTTTTAAGTTAATTCTTTGTATATACATTATTTTGTATAAGTGGTGTAATTCTTATTTGTAAAAATAAAATATTAATTAAAAAATGTTATTTTTTTTTTTTTTTTGATAATTTCATCAGTTTATCATTTTCATTATTAAATTTTATTAAATTGTTGTTAAAATTAAATTGTTTAAAAAATTGTTTTTTTTTTATACGGTGCACGCTAATGAGATAAATTTTGTTATTAAATATTGAGACTAAATTTAATTATAACTTTTTACTTCAAAACTATTTCCATGACGTCTCAACCTATTCCATTCTTATCATTTCCTCATAATAAATAAGTATGTTGAATGTTTAAAAAAAAACAAATTATTATTGAAAAATAATTATAACAAAATTATGATTTTTTTTTTTTATTTTAAGAATCAATTGTTTCGATTGATAATTAAATGCTCTATATTAGCCAAAAAAAAAAAATTGTTCTCTTTAAATCAAAATGCCTGAAGCAATGAATCAGTTTACAATATTTCTGGATTTTGGAAATTTCATTGAATTAGTTTCGGTTTTTAAATAATTAATTAGATTCATAACTTCATGGAAAATAATTAAAAAATTTACAATAATTAATATTTTAAATGAATATTTTTCAATTAGTGAATCGGAATAATTTTTGATTAATTTACAATTAAATTTTGAACAAATGGACAATAATTATTTCTGTTATAAATTGCAATTTTAGTTTTATTTTTGTTCTAATTTTAATTTTAGTTCTATTTATTTGAATAAAAAAATCTTATGCTTCAAATTTCTTAAACAATTATTATTTAAATAATTATTAATAAAAAGTTTTATTAATAATTATTAATTATTAATAATGAAAGATTTGAAGAACGTATTTTACATAAAAGTTTCATATAAAAATTAATTATTGTGCTTTTATATTTTTAAATTAATCAATTAAAAAATCTTCAAATTAATAATATACAGAAAAAAATAATAAAATAATTTAAAATTACAATGAAATTTTCTATAACAAAAAAGAAATTTATGATTTCATTTATATATAATTCCTTTTTTCGGCTAATAATATTACATTATATTCATTTAATAATTAAAACTAAGAAAAACGAAACTAAAATATATATATAATATATGTGTATGACAACACATAAAGCAAATATTTAGAATATTTTATATACTAATGTCTATATTATGTATTTTGAATACATAAAATTTAATTTCCTTAAATAAAAATAAACAAAACGACGATAAAATAAAGTATTTATAAGTTTTATTTATACAAATTTTAAAGTATTTATATAACTATTCTTAATAAGAAAACAGAATTCTTAATCAAATATATATAAACAAATTTTAAATGTATGCAAACATGGGAAAAATAAAAAAAAAAAACTTTTTTTTTCTTCTTCAATCAACAAATTATTTGTATCATTAAAAATTACATAAAAAAAAAAAGACAAAACACATTAAAAGCACAAATATTTATAAAAATAATAATAATGGTAATAATAAAAATAATAATAAACTATATAATTAAATAAAAATCATTTTTTCATTCGTTTTGGATTATAACCTTTAAATAAATCGCTACGATCTGATATTTCTTCACGACGTCTTCTGGATCGTGTCATAGGTCCCCAATTTTGTACTTGTTCTACATTTTTCTTTTCTTCAATAATAATTTCTTTATTTAATTTATTTTCAATAATCGTTTTTGTTTTACTGCTAACATTATTTTGATTATCTCTTATATTTGAACTTAATTTTTCTGTATTATCAATATGGTTATAATTATTACTACTTATTATATTATTGATATTTTTATTAATATTATTAATTATTATATTATCTTTAGTTTTATCCATATCAATTGTTGTTGTTTTTGAACTATCACTAATTGTATTAATTTTCATATGTTTCGGTTTTCGTCCTCTCCTTTTTGGTACCGCTATTGTTCTGTTTGATAATTCATTTGATGCAATTTCTGTTGATGTTATTTCTAATGGTTTTACAACAGGTAATTCAGGTATTTGAATAGAATGATTATTTTTTGTAAAATGCATTAATTCATTATTATTAAATCCAATAAAATCTTCTTCACTATCTAATGATTCTTGTCTTTCTTTTTTGACACTTATAAAATTTTCTATTACATTTTTAAAAATATCTTGTATTGATGATCTATCAAACTTCTTCATATTATCTTTTTTATCAAATCCATAAAATTCTTCACCACCATTTTCATCTATGTTATTAATATTGATTTCATTTAATTTTTTTATTTCTTTTTGTTTTTCCAATGTTAATTTTTCAATTTCCTCCATATCAGGAACATATAATATATTATCATTATTATTATCAGTAATTGGAGTTTTATCAAAACTTAAAGTAGCACGATCAACTGATGCATTTGAACTTTTACTACGTCCTAAACCACTTGTTGTACCGCCTTCACTTTCTATACCACCTTGACTACTATCAGTTGATATTGAAACAATTGAAATATTTGATGAATTAGAGTCTTTTTGAATATTACGATGTAAATGTTGTTGTTGTTGTTTAATATTTTCAATAACTATGGGCTGATGACTATGATGATATTGATATATATTTTGCTCATGTTGTGTTTTCTTTTGTTGCGGAGAATAATCAAGTAAATTAGTGTTATGATGATTTTTATAAGCTCTTATTGGTTTCTGTTGTGGCATTGAATTAAATGTTAATAATTCTTCTTCAATAAATTGAACTTCATCGCTATTATTTCTATCATCGTAAATATAATAATAGTTATCATCTTGTTGATACAATTGTTGTTGCTCCTGTTGTAATTGTTTTGAGCCTGATTTTCTAAGAGTATTTATTACCCATATATGTTTACATATTTGTTCAATTGTAGCACGTTTACGATATGATATTGTTAACATTTTTTCTATTAAATCTTTTAAGTCTTCACTTGCACTTCTCCAACCTTAAAAAATTGATAAAACCCATTAAAATAAGAATTTAAAGATATTATTTTTGTTATATAATTATTTACCTCGAGTTTCTCTGTTTATATTTCCCTCTAAAATATTTTGTCTTATATCATATTTACTTTCATTATTATTATGCCGAAAAGGTGATTGACCACATAACATTGTATACAATATAACACCTAATGCCCAAATATCACATGCTTTTGAAAATATTACTTTTGGTGATTTTAATAATTCTGGTGCTGCATAATCTAATGTAAAATGTGGTATATCTTCCCATTCTGTGTCATTATATAAATAATGTGCATAACCAAAATCAACTAACTTTAATATATCAGAATTTTTAGTTTTAAACAAAATATTTTCGGGTTTTAAATCACAATGAACAATATTATTTGAATGTAAATAATACATAACATCTAGAATCTCGGAAAAATATAATTTTACTTTATCTTTTGGCAATCCATTACCATTTGTTGCTTTAATACGACTATATAATTCTTCATTACCAAGTAATTCCATAACAATATATGTATAATGACTATCGGTAAGGCATTCATGTAATCTAACAATATGTGGATGATTGCACATTCTTAATATACGAACTTCTTCACGATTGAAATGTGAGTTACGTATCATTTTAACTGCAAATTCTTCATTTGTGGATTTTCTACGACATTTAAAGCAAGCTGAAAATGATCCAGTACCAATAATTGCTGGATTTAAGTCATATTCCTTATAGAATGCAGAGTTTTGCTAATAAAGAGAAAAGAAAACATTTAATATCTAACACGATTTACGATTTTTTCTGTGAAAAATGTTAAAATTTTTTACCTTTTCAGCATTTGTTATGGTCCATTTATTAGAAATAATTTCTTTTTGTGGTTCCCGATGTTGCAATTGTGGATTACGTTTCAAATTATGTCTCGGTGACACATATGAATAGCCTACAATATAAGTGAAAGAAACAAATTGTACATATACATAATAAAAAAGAATTTTATAATTAAAAAATACTGTTCAATCAAAAAGTAAACTACATAAAATAGTAGCTTTATGCTTACCTCTAAATAATCTATTTGAATTTGGTGGAGATATAGCTGTAGATTCTCTTAATGGAAGACTTGTAAACTCTTCACTAAAGTTACTTGTATCTAATTCATTTGTAATAACTGGCTTAAATGGTGCTTTTATTTGTTTTTTGGCTAATTTTTCCCAATCTAATTTCCTAAAGAATGGATGAGATTTAATTTCAGATGCATCAGCTTTACTTTTTCCTATTAAAAGAAAAAATAGTTATAAATTTTTTTTTTTTAAATTAACTATAATTTGTTTGCAAAAAGTTTACCTAATCTCTTTTTTGGATCTTTAACTAATAATTTTAATATGAAATCTTTTGTATCAGCTCCTAAATCGTTCGGTATAGGTGGATCAATCCGTAATATCCTCCTTGAAATATCTTGTTGAGAATTTCGTTCTTCAACAACTGTAAATGGTGATGCACCAGTTAAAAGTTCATAAGTCAAAACACCTACTGACCACCAATCAACAGCGGTATCATGTCCAGAATTATTACGTACAATTTCTTAAAATTAGAAAACAAAATAATTTTTTTTTTTTTTTAAATAAAATTAATAAATATACCTGGTGCCATATATTCTAATGTACCACAAAAACTGTATGCCCTTTCATTTGATCCTGGTGATAATTCTTTTGATAAACCAAAATCTGTTATTACAATATGCCCATCAGCATCCAATAATATATTCTCTAATTTAATATCCCTGTATATTACACCTAATTTATGCAATTGTTCTAAGGCCAAAACTATTTCTGCTATATATATACGGACTTCATCTTCAGTAAAATGTTCATTTTTATATAAATGTGTAAAAAGTTCTCCGCCACTAACGTAATCTAAAAAAAAAAAAAAATAATTTTATCAATTGAATATTTGTTCTTAAAAATAATATTGAATCATTTTCATAAATATAACAAAATTATTTAAAAATCTAAAATAATTTTACCTAAAACTAAGTAGAGTCTTTCTTCTGTTTGAAATGCGTAGTGCATTTCTACTAAAAATGGACTTGAGCGTATTAATTCAAGGACCTGTAATACAAAAAAATATGTTTTAAAATATTTCTGAAATCTAATATTAAGAATCAAAATTTAATAATAAAATAAATAATAATTAATAATTTATTTTTTATAAATTAATGTTGTTAGCGGCGACTTTACAAAGAAATAAGTGAAATAAATATCGAAATAAGTATCGAAAATTCCAGTCAGTGACATTACTTCGATTCTACTTTTTTAAGTCGATTATTAAAAGGTTAGGACAAATCGAGTTTGTTTTTGTAGCCAAAAATAAATTTAGTATAATTATTAAGAGGGTAAGGAAATGACATGGGAATATTCAACTGATTGACAATTGTGTGACAAACACTAGATAGCTTGCATATATGAAAATATTTAATACTAATTTAATTTCTATTTGAATTTTATTTAAGAGACTGTTGTTCTGTACCGTAATTTATATTCTAGAATATCTCTAGTTTGAAGAATGTACTTGATAATATCAGTACGAAACAGAGAAATGACATTGCGTATTAAGTATTACAAAAAGTTACTGTGATTGTTAAATTTATTTGAATTTGAACCATCATAGGACATTTTTATTAAATTTTTTTTTAAAGTATTGCGCATTAATAGTTAAAAAATCTTGATTTTCTTTTACTACTTCGTTTTTCTTTTGTAGGTTTTCAATTTTAAATGTCTACCAATATAATTTTTGTTTTTAATTAAAAATTTATTTAAAAGTCTTATTTTTATTGCTCTTTCAATCAAAAATGAACAAGAAAAAAACATTACCATTTAAAAACGAGGTCACTAACTTTTCGCGTATATGCTTATAAATACGTACATATGTATATATTATGTTTACATTTGTATGAATGCATGTACATACTTGTATGCATAATCAAAAAATATAATAAAAAAAAAATAAATGTCCGAAAATAATAACAGATCAGCAGATCAACAAAATGAATCGCAATCATATTTTTATACCATTTCGATGGCAACACCATCAAAATTATCAACAACAGCAAAAAAAAAAAAACTTTACTGTTACCAATGCAATTCACACACCTCAGACTTACTTTCAAAATGAAATGAAGAAGAAAATAAAGACAATTAAGAAATTTTAAAATCAAATCGAACATATTCATTCCTTTTGACAAAATAATAAAAATTTTTAAAATTTACTACCAATTTTAAATTTAACATTCTACTCTGATTCTTATTTTAGATTTTACATTGGTTTAAAATTCCAAAAATCAAGGAAAGGAAATTTCATATTAACTTTTAAACTTAAAGAGCAGATTAGCATTTGAGCAACAAACAGTTTTTAATTTGACATATTCTTCATTTCAATTTCTAAATCATAAATTTTAATTGATTTTTAAAAAAATTATTAAAAATTTATGTATAATAGTTTGCTGTTACCAGATTTAGTAAACTTGGCAAAAATATCAATTTCTTTTAATGAAACGTGAGTCTGTAACAATTTGCTTTCTGAAGTACACAGTTTCACCTCATATACATATATATATACGCGCATACATACGAGTATATAAAAAAAAACTATTCAATTTGCAAATATTTACCATTAAAATATTTAAAATTTGAATTTAGTTTAATCGAAATTTCTGAAATTCTAAAAAAATATTCAACAAAAACAAACAAAAAAAGTTCACGCATCCTCACAATTTTGGAAAAATTAAACCCTCTTTCATGCAATACAAATAAAATACTGTATATATATAACGTACTCGTACATATGTGTGTATGAAATTTCTATACTTAGTTAATTAAAATATAAAAATAAAGTGTTATTATAATTTAATTTCATACAATCAAAAATTATTTTACACTATTATACTTTGATTTATATATAAATATATAATGTTCAAATATGTCAAATACTTTTGCATTGTACTGTACTACCAGAAAGAAACATATGTGTGTTTGTTATGTTTGAATGTATACTTTCATATATGTATGTATGCATGTCGATACGAATTAATTTATGAATTACATTATACTTATATTGAGCTGGTTGGTTAACTTTCTTTAATTTTGCTTACGCAACCGCAATCGCAAAAAAGAAGCTTTTTGTTTTTTGTGTTTTTCAATAGCATGTCGCATTTTCACAAAATATTTCAAAAGTTTTGCTATAAAAAAAAAAAATGTTCAATAAAAAATTTTATTGAATTCTTCTTTCATTTTTTATTTTTCTTATTACAGATTTGTATAATGAAAATCTCTAAAGTATTATTTTGTGTTATTGACGCTTGATATAAGATCTTATACACATACGTACATATATACATATATTAATATACGCGTTGACATGTCAAAATATTAGAAATGTATTGAGTTTCTGCCGCATTTAAGTATAAGTGATTTGGTATTTAAATAAATATTTTTTTTCAATTTATGTGTTAACATAGATAGATTTAAATTTAGAAGGAACTTGTCAAAAAACTTTTAAAATTTAAATATTCACAATATTAACCCTCGTATTTAAATCTTTACATATAGGAATATGAAAATTTTAATTCATATTTTTTGCATCACTTTTTTTCCCTATTTTTACATCCATTCAAATTGCATACAACAAAAAACATGCTCGAGATCACGTCGAGCAAAATGATTTTATTCAATTTTAACAGATAGGAAAAAAATTATTTTTTTTTGATTATTCTTTTTGTTCCCTATATAACACAAACGAAAGTGAGAAGTAGGGAAAATTATTTGGTTTACTTATTTTTATAACATAGAAATAAAAATTGAGAAGCGTCTGTAGTTTCACTTACATTCTATTCACTTAAGTATTTAAAATGTTAATCAAATATTTCAGGTTATCAATAATGTTCCCCTAAAAATATGCAAAAAATTTTTGTAATTGAAAATTCTATTGAAAAGAAGAAGGGTGCTTAAGGTAGCCTTCCCATCCGAGAATATATGTAACTAATTTTATCCTTATTAATAAGCTATTTTAAATGTAAATAAATAAATAAGTAAATAGAAGAAGAACGGACCATTAGAATCAATATCTGTTCTACATGAAAGGTATAAGAATTTATGGCATTAAAATTTTTCACATTTGCATTATCATTTCAGTTAAAATTTTCATTTAATTAACAATATTGGTTTGTTTTACTTTAAATCTAATTAAAAGAGTTTATGATCAATTTTTAACTTCATTTTTTATTCATTAATTAAACATTAATCATTAGATGAGACACGGTTTCCCAGGTAGCAATATATTGAACAAAATTAAAGAACTTGTCTGATTAACAGCAAAACTGTAATATTATTTTCATACAGTGTTATTGTTGTTACTTAATGAAATCCGGATTCGCGTTATGGAATCTGATTATGTTATACATATATAAAAGGCATATAAATAATTTTTTTATTTTCTCTACCAAAAAAATTTATTTTTTTTTCGTTTATTTGTAAATTAATGACATTCTCATTGCTTTCTTTCTTTGTTTTTCCTATATACGTTACTTATGTGTTTGTAAATATACATATACACATTTTTTGCATGTGTGCATACATATGCCTTGAAAAAAATTATTTTTCTTATTCTTCTTGTTCTCTCCTCTTTAAAAACATAAAAAAAAACAAAAGTTAAAAGCTCACAAAAATTCAACAACATTAAAATAATTGAAACGAAAAAAAAATTAAAAAAAAACACAATACCTACAAATTCGGAAAACTTAAAAAAAAAAGAGAAAAAAGGTGGAGAAAGTTTGAACTTTTGATTATTTTCAAAGCCATGAAATTATTTTTTAAGTAAGTATTTAACTTTGATTTTTAAAAATAATTTTAAATTTTTAAATTACATAAATTTTAAGTTTTCAATATTAAAATTTATTAACATTCTTATACATAATAAAATTCCAAGTGTCATAATACAAATAAGTACACACATACAATATGATTTCCTCTCAAACTGCAAATCTTAACTCAAACTGTTGGGTGAAGTAAATTTCAGATTAACTTGCTATTAATCGATTTTAGCTATACAAATGCTGAGTAAAGAAATTCTATACTTTTTTTGTTAATGGCACGTTTTACCGAAATGTGGTTTAAACGCCGAATATATTTGATCTTTTCGGAAACTGAATATTATAACAGTGAAAATAACTCTAATAATTTGAATACTAGTTATATAATTTCTCTTTTTCTCAAAAGGCCTTTAATTACATTAACGTTATGTGTATGTGCTCCGAGCGTATACACAAAATTTATTTTATGCTTTTCAAACCCACTCCCCTCCTACAAATAATTGTATTTTGATTTTATATTTTTAAAATAGGTGAGAGTATTTGAGAAACATAAAAGAATGGTCGTTGTAATTATACGTTCAAACGTGTAAATAAGCACGTGTAAATATGGCCAATATGCATTTAAACAAAATATACACTGAAACAAAATTTTATTTCAAATTTTTTTTTTTCAATATTAAATTCTAATAATTAATCAAATCTTATTAAAAACAAAAAATAGAAATTTATCAAATCTATTTTTAGCAAAAATTTTAAAAATAAATTGAATTTTAAATATACAAAAATTCATAATCTAAAATAAATTTTGTATTTTTTATAAATTTTAAAATTTAATCAGCGAATAAGAGATAATAAATTACATATACAATTATATGTATGTATGTATGTATGTATAACATTAACATAATTTTATCAATCAGTATAATTGTTATTATTGGAAAACCACTTGTTTATATTGAAATTAAATCTTTGAAAAAAAAATACTTAAAAATTTACTTAATCTAACACGTGAAATTTTGTCCATTTAATTTTTTTATTATAACAAAAATAGAAAACTTGTTTTCTTTTTTATGTACATATTCTCGTTTATGTATACATACATACATATGTCTATGAAAAACAATTATACATTTCAATTACATAACCATTTAATAATAATAAATACAATAAATTTTATTTTTGTATAAAAAAAAATATTTGTATACCAGCAGTTACGTTTTTAATTTTATAAAATTGTTATGATCA